TAATTTGCTGTCATACAGGAACCACATGATTCCTTCCATCATATGGCCCACGAGCCTGCCAAAGAGGTGAACAGATTAGAGGCGCGGAAAGGGCCTGGTTTCTCATGCTGGGAGACCGAAGGCTGAGAGGAGGGAGTGACGTGTGCAAGAGCATTTCGTACCGTGATCTCGCTGTACCCAAGGCAGAGAAGGCCATGCTGCCCTGTCATGCCTCGGGGGCGTCGTGGCTCTTGTGTCTTTGCAGCCCTCTTTTAAAACCTGACATACAGTGTCCCTGAGCAGTCATTCTATGACCCGTTGTAGTGGGGATCAACTGACAGCAGGCCAAGAGAAGGTGGCCTGGGAAGACTTCGGCTGGGCACTCAGGTGCTGGAGCCGCTAGTGAAGACCCTGTGAGCACCTGTAGTCCAGGGCACAGCTCTCCAGTTCTCTGCCTCTCTGAGCCATCTTCTTAATCTGCTTAGCAGGGGCCAAGTTTTCCTTAAGGAATTGACTGACTTGGTTCCTGCAGGCAGGACATCCCCCTTGTAGAGTCCAGCATTGGTGGGCAGAAGCATTTCCATTGGTTCTGAAATGATCACAGCAGCAGATAGACCCTTCAGGCAGAGGACAACTCTGCTCCCCAGACACGATCCTTAAGACTAGTGGTTCCCTCTCACGGGCACTGAATGGCCCAGGGGAGTAGGGTGGGGGTGGGGGTGGGGGAGGGCTCTCCGGAAATGGAGGCAGCAAGGGGAGCTTGAGCCTGGGCTTGACGTGGAGGAATAAATTTGTTTTTGTGCTCTCCATTGTCCCCTCCCATTTGCAGCTGGAAGATGTAGAGTGGGAGGACTGGGAATGAGGGGAGCCAGGGCGAGCAGCTCCCGCTCCACAGCACCTCCTGTTTCCCTCGATCGTCTCCGCCCAGCCCTGGAAGACACTGATCAAGGATGTCCCCCAAACGGCCTCTGTCGACTAGAGCTCTAGGCACAGATTCTGGGTTGCTCCTTGCCGGCCCTGTGGGTCTCTGCTCACAGCTGGGAAGGGGCTCACAAAATCCAAACCAAGAACTCTGACTTGTGCCAACCACAGGATGACCCTAAGGGGGAGGAAACCTGCCCCCTCACCGGAAGAGCCTACATTTCTCTGCTGAATACCCACTGTTCTTGGGGACTCTGGCTGGAAAGTCCCAAGAGATAGCTCCATCCCTTCTGCCTGTGTGGACAGGAGCTAAACCACCATCTCTTGGAGGAAGCCAAGTCAATACACTGTCCCATAAGCAGGCAAGGAAGGCCATGCCACCTGCCTTTGGCTAGACAGGCATGGCAAACACATTTTGGTCCCTATTCCAGTGGGTAAGAGACACTTGACTCTGGGAAATTATCCTCTCATGGGAACCTCCCATTCCCAGGCATTTTCCATTTCTGGAAAGGTTCCTTGTGGTTCAGAATCTAGAGACCAAACCCTGAGTTCCTACCTTTTTGCATCCAGTCCAGGCTGGTTCGTCCCCAGCGCCTTTCCCAGGGCTTGTTCATGTCAGACGCACCCAAGTCCTTAGCCCACCTGTGCCACCTGCAAGACTCTGCTCTTGCTTCTCTTCCCCTCCCCAAGAAGGGGGGGGACCACTTCAGGCCCTTCTGTGCGTTGTCTGGCGGGGTACTTTGTCCAGCCAGCTACCCAACTTGGTTCACCTGGATCTTAGGACACCAGCCAGCTCCAGGTGGTGCAGAGCAGTGATCAAAACCGAATACTTACATCCCTGGTAAGCGCAATTTCTCTGCCTCAACCCTTCTGCTTCTTGAAGGGATATACTGGGAGTGAATTCTTGAGACTCTCACCAGGCTTCTGAAAAAGCTCTTCTTCCTGAAGGCAGACCCGGTCTTTATGGCTCTTACCTTCCGCTCTGGTAAAGGTACACCTCTCTTGGGGGAATGAGGGACTGCAGGAATCCCTGGAGACCCTGGTGCTTCACGTTGCTGCTCTGGTGATTCTTGTACATAGTCTGGTGTGTTCTCCAGTGGCTTAATGGGATCAAGGCAGGGAGCCAAGAGAGTGGTGGTCACTTCCACTTCAGACCTTCAATGCGGGGGTGGGATGGAGAGAATGCTGAGTCTTTTCGATGGGATGGGGTTTTTCTCTCTTTGTAATTTCTTCAGTTTAATTAATCTTTTGGTTGTTTGTGCAATATTATATATTTTAAATTATAATGCATCTCCCCAGAGTATTTTGTAGCCGGGAAAAGAAAAAAAGGGAAAAAAAAAGATTCTAACAGCTGTTAGTTTTGTAATTAAAAAGAAAGAAAAAAGAACTTTGTCCCGAACGTTTTCCAGACTTGCCGTTAACAGCATTAAAGAAATTCAACAGAAGCTGGAAGGTGTCTGGGGGTCTGTTCTTGTCCCCCATGGCAGCTGCCCTGGAGTCAGGGCAGGACACACAGTGTACAGAGTGGCTTCCTGCTTGGACTGGGGTGGGGGGTGGGGGCGGCACAGATGGGAGGTAGCATGGGTCCTGAGGAAGTCCCTTGTCCTCACCCAGACTCAGCCAGCTTGGCCTTTGGGATGAGGAAGGGACGGGGCCCCCAACAGGCTTCTCACCAAGGCGTGGAGTCACGAGGCCAGTTCTGCATTCCCAACGCTTCCGCTTTTATTTGGAACAACAGTGGCTCCAGCTGCTCTTTGTCATTGTTCTCCTCTCCTCTCCTCCCCCTGTATGTGTATGATTCTGAGATCTAATTTAATTACCTTTAGTTAAAAACCCGTATGAAAATCACTTGTCAGCCGTAATAAAAGGGAAGTCTGAATGAGGCCCTCTGGTTCCATGAAAATCTTTAAAGGGAAAGAGAAGTAAGGCTGGGGAAGGCGTAGGTAAGTTTTAGGATAAGTAAACTTAGAGTGTAAAATATATATCACCATTTTCGAAGCGGGTTTGGGTTTGCTTTCTCCCCCTGCTTTATTGGGGAGGACTTGCCATTGCTTTTATGAAGTGCTTGCTAGCCATGGATGCCAACTAATTTCTTCGATTGAAGGCCGGAGGACCATGTCTGGTTCCAGGAGCTGTTTGAGCAAGTCCTGGCATTCAGCCGAGATGCCCAGATGAGTGGGGAAGGACACCCCCTTCTGCTGCTGCCACAGCATCTTGGGAATGTCTGTGTCGTCGAAAGGGAGGCTGGCACAGAGCATGACGTAGAGGACAACGCCCATGCTCCAGACATCACCCTTCTTGCTATCGTGAGGAATGCCCTGCAGCACCTCAGGGGCAGCATAGGCTGTGCTGCCGCAGAAGGTCTGGCTCAGCTCCCGGCGTGACTTGGGCAACACCTTGGCAAAGCCAAAGTCAGTCAGCTTCAGGTTGAAGCCCTGCAACAAGGCGTTCTCACACTTGAGGTCCCGATGGGCCACACCGCAGCCGTGGCAGTAGCGGATGGCCTCAACCATCTGACGGAAGAGGGCCTTTGCCTGGCTCTCGGGCAGCGGCCCCCCATTCAGCACGCAGTCAAAGACATCCCCCCCCTCAGCCAGCTCCATCACCAGGTAGATTTTACCATCGGCAGACTCCAGCATCTCGTACACCTGGATGATGTTCTTGTGGTCCAGGGTGCGGACAATCTGGAGCTCCCGAGGTAGGAATCTCTGGATAAATTCTGAGGAAACAAAGGAAAAAGAGATGGGGTGTCAACTCCAGAGAGGCCCGTCTCCCCATCATGTCTGGCTGGGTCTAGTGCCTTCTAACCACAATGTCAAATTCCTTCTAACAGTCTTAAATGTTTAGGTGCTTGGACAGTGCAAATAATATTCACCTTATTTTTTAGTTAACACATTATTCAAAGGAACCACTCCTTGCCAATCTCAGGGACTGTTGTGAGCAGCCTGTGAGACCATAGGTGTCCAGGTGCTTGGGGGACTGTTGGACCAAGCCACTGAATCTCAGCTGTGAGGCTGATTTGCCTGCAGTGGGGGGACCAGCTCCTCTCGCCCCTGCCTCTGGACCAACAGTTCAGGACCATTCTTTTCCTGAGCCCATTTTTTCCCCATTGCTACCTGCCTCCACACCAGCATCTGCCGTCTAGTGCTCTCTGCCAGTCTGTTCTTATGGGTTTGGGTTCTGCCTGTGAGGACCCTTTACCTCCTGCCTCTTCGAGCTTGGATTTTGGAGGGTCTGGTATTCTTGGACTCCCAGCATCCCTCTGTTCCCCAGTGACTTACTCCAGAGCCATCCCCTTGGTTTCAGACTAAGGGGAGGAAGCCCCCACCCACCACAACCAGCCCCCTCTTCCTCCAAAGGGGCCCCAGCTCACCTTCTGGCCCTCCCATCTTGTCTATAATTTTAATTGCCACCTTTCTTTGGTGTTTTTTGGAAAATGCTTCTTTGACTTTTGAGTAGGTCCCTTCCCCAATGGTCTTGCCCAGCTGGTACCCACTGGAGAGCAGAAAGTCCTCCATGCTGTGTAGCGCTTCCTTCCTATCAAGCTATTAGCTCATGCTGCCTCTGTGAGGCAGCTCTACTCCACCATCGCCCTTGGCCGGGTCCTTTTCCCCCCAGGGACTTCACCCACAGCAGCCCCCAACGCTAGAACATTCTCCGTCTGGACACAGCAGCCGCAGGTAGTGGGGAGGGAGAGGGCCAGACATTTTAAAACTCCAGCCCAATTGTGATGTAAATATTGTATGACCCTTGGCCAAAATGGCCTACCCTCAGCAGCAGCACCACCAAGCCCAGTACCGGTTAAGTCATCGCCGCGCTCCCACCCCCGAGCCAGGCCAGGCTGGTGTAGAGGGGTGCTCTGGGGTGCCTGCGCTCCCTAAAATGACAGGGTCTTTGTGGATGCCTCCTCCCATCTGGTTGCTGTCGCCGCCGCGCCCCCATGGGGCTACTGGATGTCTGCACCACACCCAGTCTCAAAGCGCCATGGCGGGAGCCCTTGGGCTCCCTGCGCACTGCCGCACTAGGTGTCGGGCGGTGGGCGGGTTCCCTGGCGGGAGGAACGGGTTCTGTGAGGTCAGCACGCCAAGGCCTGGGTCACAATGCAGCCCTCCCCCTCGACGCCCGGGCTCACACGCGCCGCAGACACCTGCCCGGCTGCGCTGGACCGGAGCGTCCTCCCGCGGCCAGGGCTCAGGCAGCTGCTTCCAGCCTGGGACCGGCCTCGGCCTCCAGCAGGTGAGCCATTGCTCACAGGGGGCAGGTGCGGGGTGGGGGCGCCCAGCGGTCCAAGAGCAGCCTGACAGCCTCGCCCCTCCCCGCACAGAGCGACCCGGGGCCTGGACATGAGTGCCCAGGAGCCCCCTCAGGGTCGGAGATTCCCCATTGAGGCCGGAGACTCCCCTGGCCTTGCCGCCACCCCCGAGTCCCAGGACGGCCCAGAGCCGGTAGCTACGGAGCACAACCCGGTCAGGTGAGCACGCGTCCCCTCCTGCGCTCCTGGGTCATCCCCATCCCATTTTTCCTCCCCGTCCCACTTCCCTTTCCCAGCCCCACCCGCCCCCACCCCAGGTAAAGGCCCCACATCCTCGCCCCAACCTCGAAAACCCCAAGTGCACTCCACGGATAAGACCCCAACAGCGCCCCCTGTTGCACTGCTTTCCCCAGGCCGCTTCGACGCTGCCCGGGCTGCCACTGCCTGACGCTGCTGCACGTGCCCATCGACGTCTACCTGGCTATGGGCGGGAGCCCCCGGGCCCGCGCCACCTGAGTGCGCCTGAGCACGTCGCGCGCGCCGAGCACGAGACAATGATGCACATTTTAAAATAAAAGAATGATGCACATTTTAATAAATTACAGCATAAATTGTTCTTTCCACTCCGGACTGGCCGTGTTTGTCTGTCCTGCCTGATCGGCCTGTTGACTGCTCTGCGCCATCCCATAATGCCTTCCCTATAGCTGCCTCCTCCCTTGGATCCTCCCAGCCCCAGGGGCTGGTCTTTCCCCGCCCACTTTCTTCTGGCCAGGCGCCGACCACTCCCCCATTTTTTGCTAGTCATGACTCCTTCTCCCCACCCCCTCCGTCTCTCTCCACAGTCTCTAGTGAACATCACGTTATTGTACTGGACTCCGGAGCCCAGAGAAGCTCAGGACTGGAGGGGACAACTTAGAACAGAGAATGACCACCCACACCAGGCTCATTTAATGCTCCCAGGATGGCATTAGGTTTTGCTGCCTGCTGTTTTGTGACCCTGGGCACCTCTGGTTTTGTTGGAAGAGTTTAGGGAAAGGTACCCCGTCCATCTTGACCATGATTTCTCCTAGAAGTGGTGGAACCAGAAAAAGGTTGGGGAAAAAGTCCTTTCAAAAATTTTGATTTCAAATTCCTACGTTACAGGTGAGGGAACTGAGCCTTGAGTGCCGGGCCTGGGGTCAGCCAACTGACGGGTGATGCTAATGTCCCCAGACTTAACAGCCTTCCACAGGAGGGGCCCACAAACAGAGTCGCCTGGGAGTGAAGGATTTGAGCTGAATAAGTATTTTCCGCTTTCCACTTTTTCTTTAATGAACTGTATTATTTTAATATTGGGGAAAAACTTGTGTAAGCCAAAGATTAGGTTCAGTCTCCTGTCCCCTGAGATCTAGGTACAGTTGGCTCAATTTTCCTCACCTAATTTACATAGGTGGAAGGCCAGGCTGTCCTTGGAGCACTTCAAAGTCCCACGTCACCTGAAAGGTGACTTCCTGACTTCTGCACAAAACGCTCTCCCAGGCAGTGCCAAATGTAGGCTGATTGAAGCAGAGGATGTTTGCCAAAAGGTCTACTTCCTCGAAGCGAGGACTTCAGATGACTGTTCCGCCCCTGGTCCTGTAAGACATCCTGGCTCTTTGAAAACCCTCCACACCTAGAATAATGTCCCTTCCCCAGAATAATCCCCGGCTTTAGGCCCTAGTGCTGGCTTCTCTCTCCCCCTCCACTTCACCTCACTGCCTGGAGAACCCCTCAGGACTCAGCTCTCCTATTCAGTGGAATAACCCAGCTGTCTCCATCCCCACCAAACTTAATGCAGGCCTTGCTCAGCCTGCTGCAGCTCTGCAGAAAAAGGACTTCATTCCCTGTAAACAGTATTCACCCTCCTTAGGAGGCCATTGTCATTTTAGAGAATAAAAATCACCGGGTTCTGTACTGATATGGTCTCGCCATTGAGAGCAACCGACGTTAGCTTAAACAGAAAAGGAATTGATTGTTTCAAGTGGCTGAGAAGGATATAAGCTGGGAAGGATATAAGCTAGTGATTAAAGAGAGAACTGTAGAAATCAGGGCATCTATTGGGATGGGACCAAGGGTTCAACCCCACAGGGACTGCCCCACTGTTCCTCTCGTTCCTGATTATCTCCAGGGGAAGCAACACGGTTGCAGGCAGCTCAGAAATCCCAAGAAGGGAGAGGTGTTTTCTCCCATCTCTGTATACCTACCCGTGGAAGGGCAGCAGTCGGCCTTTCCTAAATCACATGTACATTCCTTGGGCCAATTACCATTGTCAAGGAGATGCGAGACTATAATTGACCAGTCTGGGCCCTGAGTAAGACTTCCCTTGAGATGTATGCACAGCCAGATGATTGACAGCATCCCCAGAAGATAATGGGCGAGGACGGAGAAAAAAACAACCCAGGAGCAGAGGCAGCTTGCAAAGATTGGAAGATTGAATATGCCTGGGAGAAAAGGAAGCCTGGAAAGAAGGGGTAAAGAGTGGCAGGGGCCAGGGTGACAACTCTGTTCCATGAAAAGGAGGAGCCTTGGTCAGTGTGACCAAGTGTCAGGCCCCTGGGTTCTAGTTCAGGCTTTGTCCCTGACACAGACAGTACAGGCCCACTAGGCCTGTGTGGGACACTGGGGATTCAGTGGTAAACTTGACCCTCATGGAAGTCACCTGGCTTAGAACTCACATCGAAATCATAGAACTCACATGATTTCCTGGGAGGCCTCATCAGGAAAGCCCCTTCCCTTAGGGCACCTTTCTTCACTGGTTGAAAAAGGTTGCAGGGAGAACCAGCTCATCTCTCTGGACCTTGCCCACCTCAAAATGCTGACTCCTTCCCATTCTTCCTTTCTTCCATCCCTCTTACTTTTTTTTCTGTCCCTCTTACTTCCTTTGTCTCATTTCCCAACCCTCCTTTCCTTTAAAAAGATTTATTGCCTCTTTCCATTTGCTTGGATAGTGAGGGATGCAAAGATTCCAGGCACTCTGGACACATACCTTGCCATGGGACCAGACCCTGAGTCTTGTGAGGTCTAGAATGTCTATGACTAAGGGGAAAGGGCATTCCAGGAGGAAGGAACACTGTGGGCAAAGGCTGGAGGCAGAAAAGTGGAGGGCAAGGTCAAGAGACTCAGTTCAATCACCTTTCACCAGTAACTACCTGGGCTGCGCCAGGCGCTGAGAGCCCAGGCCTGAATCTAGTCCCTGGCCCTTGCGGAGCTCAGAATTCATGGGATCCAGGAGGGAGTTCACAGAAGAGAAGGCATTGGATCGAGGCACTGAGTCTGAACTTTGTTCTGTAAGTGATAGGGAGTGTGACAGGCTCCAATCTAGATCACTTCTCTCTCCTACTTCTCATCTCCTTTTCCATTCTGTTCTCTGTTGCTCTTTCCTCTTTCCTGCTGCAGAAGTCACTGGCCTAAATTCTAGTCCTGCATTTTAGTCCTGCCATTTACAAGCTGTGCAACCTTGGGTTAGTTACTTTGCCTTTCTGAGTCTCCATTTCTAAATCGGTGGAAGGACATTAATGACACCTGGCGGAAGGTTTCGTAAAGTCATGTGAGTACAGCACCAGGAAGGAATCTCCGGCACAGCTAGCTCTTCATGAACAAGAGGCTGCTGCTCCAATATTTGACCTCAAGGGGCGACAGAGAGCTGGCCAGCCACATCCCCAGCGGCTGGGTGATGACCAGCCTGAAAGCAGATTGGGGAATCCCTCTTGCCTCTCTCTGCCAACTTCCCAGCAGTTCTGCTCAGGAGCCTGGGAACTTGGTAGGGGGAATTTCCAGGGGAATCCCCAAGTGGTAAAAACAGTTGTCTCCCTCACCCAAAAGAGTAAAGCTGTCCCCAGACACCAAAGCCAAACTCCCAGATCCCAGCCTTATTGGCCGCACCTGAGGAATGCCTAGGGGCCCAGGGGGAAAAGGATGCTTGAATCACTGCCTTCCCTGACTTCTCTCACAGACACTTTTAGCCAGCCACCCCCAAAGGGGCCCCCTTTTAGAAGGAGGGAGTGAAGTAGGCAGATGGACCCCCAGGTTACCATGGAGACAGCAGGGAAAGGGTTGCTGTATCACCACGGCAACAATTGACGTCAACACTACCCTCTTCCCATCACTTGATATAAGAGGGGGGCAGCCACCCCAACCACCAGCAAGTTCCCCACAAAGCCTCCTCCCCTTACTGAGCCAATCAACCAGGGGTCAACAGGCTTAATACAGTTCGGGAGTTAAAAGCACACACTCTAATGTCAGTCAAACCTTGATTCCAGTCCTCCTCCTGCCTCGTCTTAGCTGTATGAATTCGAGCAAGTTCCTTAACCCCTGGAGTCTTCCCATGTACAATGTGGGGGGTACATAAGCTGCCAGCCTCCAGGGTTAGTGTGAGGATCCTGATCTCATAAGATCATGGGCACTGGGCCAAGTCAGGGAAGTGCATCCTGATGCTAGGGACTGTCGAGAGTCCTGGGGACCTGTCAGGGGATGGTGGTCCTTCAGACATAGACTCACAGCCCCTAGAAGGCTCCCACTACTTCTAAGGACTGGGCCTCAGAGATTGAGCATCTTGGAATTTCGGACTCTTAGGGTGGATCCAGAGACAGTGGAATTTCCAGACTCTGAGGAAACCCCAGGTGTCACTTTCCCTGAAACCCCATCAACATCCAGACTCTGACCCAACTTCCTTTTCTTCTGCCCTCTGCCTCATCCTGGGTCTTCTTAGCAGCCTTCTACCCCCTGAGCCTCCGTCTGCTCCTCTAGGAAAAAGGGTGAATGAGGGCCCCTGGGAAGACACCAGGAAACCCAGCACCAGGTGGAGCAGCGAGTTGGCCGCCACAGGGCTATGGGTGTCCCAGCTCCCATGGCCTCTCTCCACCCCATCTGGGAGTAAGAGCACCAGAATCATGTTCATTCCCCCTCTCTTTCCCAACCCCCCCACCCCCCACCGTCCAGATGACCACAGTCCGTTCTGCTCCAATTCCACCACCAACCCCTCATTGCTACTCATCTGCATTACTCCAGCAGCCTCCTACCTGTCTCCCTGATTCCTTCCTTGCTCGATTCTTCCAGTCCAGACTGGTTTTATAAAGACCACAAACCCAGCCATATCATTCTCCTATTTAAATCCCATCAATGGGCCTGACTGGTGTGGTTCAGTGGGTTGAGCGCTGGCCTGCAAACCGAACAGTGACTGGTTCATTTCCCAGTCAGGGCACGTGCTGGATTGCAGACCAGGTCCCCAGTTGGGGGCGTGTGAGAGGTAGCTGATCAATGCTTCTCTCCCTCTCTTAACTCCCTCCCTCCCCCCCTCTCTAAAAGTAAATAGTTAAATCTTTAAAACATAAATAAAGCTCATCAATGGCTTGTTTGCATCATTGCCTAGCCACACTGGACAGTCCTCAGCTCTTCACGAAACATTCTTCCCGCCTTTAAGCACGCTGGTCCTTCTGCTTAGAAGAGCCTCCCTCCCAATCCCACTGACCCTTCAAATCTCCACTAACTGTCACTTCTCAAGGTTGCTCTGACAGCCTGTTTCCTGCCCTCCCAT